GGAGCCGAGCCGGGCCCAGGCCGCCGCCATGCCGATGAAAGGCCGGTTCCCCATCAGGCGGACGCTGCAGTATCTCAGCCAGGGCGACGTCATCTTCAAGAGCTCGGTGAAGGTGATGACCGTGAACTACAACACGGCGGGAGAGCTGAGCGAGGGGGCGAGGTGAGCGCGGGGGCGCGGCGGGAGCGCGGGGCGGTCTGCGCCTTCCTCAGAGATATCTCGACTTGCGTTTGTGTGTTTTTCTTCTCCTTCTTTCCAGAAAGTTTGTGTTTTTCAACATCCCCCAGATCCAGTACAAGAACCCCTGGGTGCAGATCATGCTGTTCAGGAACATGACGCCCTCGCCCTTCGTCCGGTTCTACCTGGGTAGGTGCCGCCGGGACCAGACAGCCAGGCCTGCCTTGAGAGCGCTCCGGCCCCGGGCCCCGTCGTGAGCCCCGAGCAGGGCTTCCCCCGAGCAGAGTCATCTGCAGGAGGCGTCAGGGCAGCGACGGTTTTCACGCCAGAAGCGCGGTTTGATCCGCGTTTCTGTGATTCTAACTTGGCCCCCACGTCTCGGCCTGCAAAGCAGGAAGAAGGGTGCTTGTTGAGAAAAGCAGCTTTATGTGTTAGCAAAGACCCTGTGCTCACCTCCACTGCCTCACACGTCTGCCAGCTGTCCTAGAGTCCTCCTAGATGCAGGCTTTGCTTTGCTTATTGAAACGTTACAGTGTACATTAACTGTAGTAGAGAAGCAGATGGCTTAGTTTTGTGTTTAAAACACTTTTTGCAGCTACATTGAAACAGCATGGGGTAGGGAAGGGGTACCGTTTGATATATACTATTACAAATCTTTCTTGACAGACAACGGAGAACAAGTTTTGGTTGACGTAGAAGATAAAACCAACAAGGAGATAACTGAGCACATTAGAAAAATCTTGGGGAAAAGCAAGTAAGTAACACTTAATAAGCTAACATACAGTCTAGCATACCTCATAATACGATCCCTGCAAACTTTTGTCAGGTATACAGAAGGAAATACCACTTTTCCCAGACAAAATTGACATGAGCTAGGTAAAGTTCAGAAGCTAGGAACTGTAAATCCATCCAAATTGGGTCCAGGGAAGGGAGAGGAAATGTTGCCATTCAGGCTTCTGATAGTAACAAACAGATCTTTTTTCTAGAGAAACGCTTGAAAAAGAGGAAAGAGAAAGGAAAAAACTATCACATCCAGCAACTTTTGGGCCCAAGAAGTATCATCTGCGAGAATGCATGTGTGAAATTGAAGGCCAAGTTCCCTGCCCTGCTTTTGTGCCACTGCCCAAAGAGATGAGGGGAAAATACAAAGCTGCTATGAAGAATGAAGCATCAGCCTGACATCTTGACTCATGCAGCTGTTTTTCCTCAGGGCTGGACGATCAGGGTACTTCAGTGAGAGACAAGAGCTAACAAGGTCCTGGAAACAGGAACAAGCAAGTTCATATAATACAGACAACCTTGTCTCATAAGTCTTCTTACAGCTACAACTACTACAATTAAAGTGAAAAATAAATAAAAGTTGAAAACCCAGCTTTTTTGGTGCCAGTTTTACAAAGCATTACAGTCAACACTGCATAAGAGGAAAACAGAACAATAAGGAAAACAGAATGACTAGAGCCCTATTTCCTACTCATGTGCATGTATAAGGTTACGACAAAAACAAGATCGTGTTTGCTTTGGGATAGAGACACTAGACTGAAAAGTTAATTTATCTTCGAAGCAGCACAGAATTCCACAATTTAGAAAGTGGTATAGAAGTGTTCCTGCTGATTTCCATCTTGTACTAACTGAAGACAGCCAAATGATAATGTAACTCCAGGCTCAAACTACATGCTGAATTTTCTTAATTTATTTAGTTGCCACTCAGTTAGAAGTCTCATTTACAACAAGATACAACTTTTGCAGTTGATACTGCAGCTCTGAGAAGCACTGATCAAGAATATCAGCAGTAAAGGAGAACATGTAAGCTGGTATTTGAAAGATAATGCTTTACAATTACCTTTATTGTCCTTCAAAAAAAATTTAAAGCTACTCTTAAATTAAGACAATTTCCTAAACAGTCTTCCTCTAAAAAAAAAAAAACCCAAAAAACCACATACAGAGGAGAACTGTGTCTAGATTTATCAACTTCCAGCAAATCCTAGCCAGCAAGTCCATTATGCTTCAAAGTCCAGTGCTGCTATGTAACTTCTACCTCAAATGCTCCTACTCCCTGCACATGGTCAAAACCCCCTTCTAAATCGTCATAGCTTCTGCCTCACCAAACAATTACACTATACCTATAATAGTACATAAACATATGATAGATTGTACTATATTGCTTGGAATTTGATAACTGTACATACCTTTAAGTCAGGCTTATATATGCAAATTAATGTAGAACTGTATTTCAGCATTTCTGAGCTAATGGTCCAGTACAAAATTTCACACCAATTCAAGCGTCCTGTAAAAATTGTCAAGGATGAACACAGCACAAAATAAACATGTTGGTTTATTTCATCTCTGTTTACAAAGTTTCCATACAGAGAATGCATGCAATTTTAACAAAAGTCAACGCTAGTTATTTATTGAGCTTTAGGGTCAAGATGCCTTTATTCCATTGTGCCTTGTGAGCCTCACAGCAGTCCAAATACCAGCATAAGGTCTTCACTTTGGAGACGACTTTAGTATCAGATGTCTAGTCTATCACATTTAACACTGACAAAGATCACGAGGTATGCTAGTCTGTTATCTGCTTGTAAAAATACATTACTACATGTACAATAAGGATACTTTCATTATTAGTGTATTAGACTGAAAATACAAACAAGGCAGAATAGTTGCAACAAGGAAAAAACACTTTTTAAATGTGAAAGCTGAAGCCACTGAAACATTTTTTTCATGTCGATACCAAAAAAAGCTTTAGGTTACAGTGCAGGGAGCAATCCTCTTGACTAGCAAACAAGTCTGTCTTAAATAACTACCTTATACTATTTCTGTTAAAACAAACAATTCCAGGGATTATGTTTAGCTATCTTAACATTTATTTTTTGCTGCCTTCGTAAATCTGGTGCCACAGTGCATGCGTTTTGTTAGTTTACGACCTTTCAGAATCCTCCATTCTTCCTTTCACTTGGTGCAAAATAACACTCGGAGACTCGATCAACTCTAATAAAACATCTCAGTATAAAAACTTCATGGTCTTAAGACAACCTGTTCTGCATACCTTTCAACTTCAGACTTAGGCTACAGTAAGAAGAACATCAGCTGTCCTTAACTGGCTGCTCTAAGTTATTTTGATCAGTTACTAGTGCTGTTAAGTGAGGATAGAGGTGGTTTGGTTTATTTAAACAACAGTTCCACAAGTCCCTACCTCCACTTACTTACAGCAAAATAAAACTAGAATTCCTGCTCTTTAGGTAGCATAATTATTTGTGTCTCTAAAATATTATGCAATGCTTGGGTTGCAGCTATGCTAACATATATTATCAGAGACATAGTTAAAAGACGTCCTATTCCATAAAAGTTTACACTTCTGGGTAAGCCCACTATTATTAGTGCTACACAGTGTGATCTGCCTGATTTTCCTCTATTTCAGCTTCAAATAAATACACCCTTTAGACTAACTCCTCCCCACCACCCTTTCCAACACCAATGCCTGATGATGGACCTCTGCCTTTCAAAGACAAAAATCAAAGCAGCTCAGGCTCCATCTTTCCCAAAGATACAGGCTGAGCTAACCCTGAAATGATCCTACATTTCTGATGCCAATCTTCAGAAGCCCAGTTCTAAGCCCTTCTGCATCACAGGTGCTGGCCATCACCTAGTCATCCCCCAGACCACAGGATCACAAGATGACTCCAATTTGGAGCTTCTTATTTAAGACAGACATGCCTGATTCTCATAACTTCTGAGGGGAATCAAATATGAAAGAGAATTGCTATTTGGCCCTATCACAGTCGTGGACTTTGTCTCCCAGCTTTCACAGAATTCCAGTTCAGTGGCACTTCAGCTTTCCATTGTAAACAAGATTTTTGTTCCTTGAATGCTACAAAAAGAGGGTTCCAGTCTCACAAATATGACAAACATGATCATTCTGTCACCCAGAGAATTTAAAGGAATGTGTAGATTCCATAAGATAATTAGGAATCGAAGGGTCACCCTTTACATTATAGTTTGAAATGGTGCTAGCCTGATGCTCTTTTCCCTGGAAACAAGTAGATACTTGTTCCCTCACAAGCAGGTCTCTGAAGCCAGCATGGTTCTCTATTACACTGTAGTTTGCGCTCAGAGCAAATGGGAAACTGAAAGTGATGAAAAGACACCATCTGAATTTTACTTGGGAATTTTTATAAACACATTAAAGAGTTACTCATATTAAGATCAGTTATAAAGTTCTTCTCAGTCTTAAAATCTCTTATGTATTAGCATTGCACAAAATTGATCTGCAAGCCCGTATATTCAGCACCTCAAGGAATCACAGTAGCCTTTTAACAGCACTTTCTCATAACACCATTAGGCAATTGAGCTAGCCTGTAACACAGCACTGTGTCATTATCAGAAGATGCAGAAGTCTGAGAAAAGTTTTTTCATCTCTCTTTAGTCAAAGCCCCACTTGAAAGGCCCATACTACAATACTACAGCAGAAAGGGGTAAAGATGACAAACCAACATTGCAACCATTTCCAAATCACAGTTCCCTATTAGCACTTAACCACTTTGACCAAAATAAGCACACAGTAAGACCAGTTACCATTAAGAGAGTGTTGTAACAAGTTATTTTAAAATTTCTTAGTATAAGCATTTGAGACCAGCAGCATACCTCAATAATTCTTTCTTCAAGACTGAGTAGTAGTGGAAATGCTTAACTGAAAGTGCATAAAAGTCAAGATTCTCCCAATTCCCTCTTGTGATCTGTACTCCTGTTCGTAAGTATCTGCTCTACCTTCTCATATGTAACAGCAGACTTACAATAATTATTACACAGCCCTCCTTCTGCTTCAGCAGTTGGATTTCTCCTTCTGCTTTGCTAATGTGCGCTTCAATTCCTTTAAGTTCTCTGTCAGTACCTCCACCTCATCCATTCGTCCACTGTGTTTGGCATCAAAAATATAAGCTTTGATATTATCTATCTGTTGGAGAAGCAGCTCTTCCTCTATAGCCTCCTCTCCAGAGATCTCATTGCCATCCTCCACTTCAAAGGGATTAGCAGAGGATCCCTCTTCAAATGGATTCCCAGAATTCCAACTGCCCCCAGGCTTTTGAAATGGATTTTCATCCTCTTCAAAAGGGTTTGAAGTACTGCCAGGTGCTCCATTAGTTTCTTCATCCTCCTCCTCATTTTCAAATGGATTATATTCTTTTTTATCACTTTGCAGAGCTGTGTTAGAGAATGAAACCATTGGAGAAGTGTCTTTGGCAAATGGGTTAGTGGGATCTTCCTCTAACTGCGGGGTATCTGCTTCATCTTCAAAGGGGTTTAGACAGGCTGTCTGATCTTGGTCTTTGTCACACTTTGGGACGTTCTGGGGTTTGAGTGTGAAGACCAAGTGCTCTTTAGCTGGCAGCTGCTCAACAGCAGGAGTTTCAAAACCTGGGTCCCCTTTGATCTGAGGAATATCTAAATCCAATGCATGTGCTGTCAAGTTCCGATTCTCTTTTGCAACTTCATGCTGATGCTGCTTGACTTCTCTGAAGTCTAAGGAGCATGTCCTTGAATGCTGAGACATGAATTTGTGGTGTTCTCTTTCCCACTCTTTTTCACGAAGGACCTGAAGTTCCTCCCTCTGCATCTCTTCCTCTTCTGCCTGTTTTTTAGAAAGCTCAATAGCTTTCAGAGTTTGTTGTTGATCATATTCATCCTGAAGCTGCCTCAGGTTCTCTTGCAACATATGGACCTCGTCTATCCTATTAGCTGCCTTTGCTTGCTTAATAAAGGATGTGATATTGTCAATCTGCTGAAGAAGTGGGTCTGCTATCTCACTCTCTCTTGATATGCTAGATGTAGGTAACCAGCCTTCAGATTTCCTGACTATTCCTTTTTTCAGGTGAGTTGCATCACCATTAACTGCGGCTGCAGATCTGAAGATAAAGTCTTTCTGCTTTTCCTCTTGTTTTCCATGTGTTTCGAGAGCCACCTAAAACAAAAAACATGTAGTAAGAGAACACCATGAGCTTGAAAAATTGCATTCTAAATATCCATAGGTACAAGAAGTTAGCTTATCTTAGACATCGCTGGCTGTCACTGAAAGGTATCAGCTGCATTTTTGGTTACTTTGCAGAAAATGCTTGTTTTCATAATACTACCTAAATGCTTCCCTTCAGTTTGTTTCTGATGCTATTGATCAAAATCCCATGACAGCTGCCTCTACAAACTTGAGGGCAAGTAGGAGCAGCAACAGTGCTTTATATAGAGCAAAAAAAATACCTAATGCAACTGTGCAAAGAGTGGTCTAGATCAATCTGGACAGTAACCGTATCACATCTGACTACAGCATACATCTGGAATAGAACATCAGTGTTAAAGGTCACCGATATCATTAGCTTTTGGAG